CCCCCCCCGCCCCCATTTTTATTCGATGCCGTAGAGTACTAATTTTAGGTAAGAAGGGAACGACATCGGGACAGTCCAGTGTACTTTGGTAGATCTACTTCTTTCAAAGACGGTACAGATATCTTGTATGGTTTCTGTACGTAGAACTATCGTGGCTCAAAAATAAAAGGATAAACTACTTTCATTATTTGTACGGAAATAGTGTATTAGCTGTTTGTAAACATCGTTAAGAGAGCTGTGAGTTGGAGGATTAACACCGATTGCTCGTGAACCCAGTAGGATGTCGTTAAAGAAGAAGAAGAAGAAGAAGAAGAAGAAGAAGAAGAAGAAGAAGAAGAAGAAGAGCAAAAAGAAGGAAAGCTGATGTTCTTGTACAAAACCCTGCGCCCTTCCCCCATTCCTTTTCTTCTTCTCAGCTTTTCCACTAGTCAAATGTTGCTTCTCTCATCTTCCTGCAACAAAACACACTGTCTCTTGCCATTCTGCCTGTCTGTTTTTTTTGGAGGGAGGGGGTTCCGAGCCTTCTTTTATGACCTGTTCCCATTTTGTGTTATGTCTCCCCTTTCCTTTCTTACCTTCGACCTTCGCTTTTGGAAAGAATAGTATGTTTTTTGAGTGATTCATTGCCAAACCACCCACCGAAATACTCAAATGCACGTGCTTTAACTCTGTAAGTGAGTTCTTATATCTTGGTTCACCTCAAAAGATCTTTGGGCGCACTTGACTTCAAAGTTCTTTTAAAAGATTAAAAATAAAGATAAGGCAACCTGGTACTGGTACTTGAAATAGGTCTTTGTATATTATAATTAAATTATAAGAACAATCTGCAGCGGCCAAGAGATCTAACACGCAGGCAATTTTAGTAACAGTATTACGCACTTTTGTAACGCGATAAGGCCATATTATAATGCCGAAAATTAGAGATGTTACAAGAGAGCTGGCCTACTTAACAAACACTAAAAAGAAGGAGAAGAGATGAGGACGATAGATGTTTGATAAGAAATGAGGAGCAAACCACACAACAGCACCCGCCAGCCACCCACTTATACTATAGCATAGTGGTTTTTTTAACCAAAAAAATAATAGAAACCCACAGACCCAGCGGCAGCCTGCCAGGAATGCTCTCCTGGAAAAAAACATTAATATTTTACTTTTCTCAACCCCTATGTAACCCAGTTTTGTTTCAGTCACGAGACTGCGGGAAATTACATTGTTGTAGGCTAGTCGAACACAAAGCAGAATGCCGTCAGCCGTCATGTGATATTTAACC